GAAATAAGGCAGAGTAGGGAGCAGTAGAAATCTGTCTCCCTACCTAGACAACAGTTGTACTGGCAGAATATTTTTGATGTAGCTATTTTGAAAGAGTGAAGTCTACTGAAGGTTTACAACTTTCCAGATAAAGGCTCCCAAATTGAATGTGGTTAACTTTGGTCAGTTTTAGTTGTTAAAATAGTATTATGTACCCACCCCCTCCCCCCACTCCTTAGTCATGTGGCTGGCAGCATGTGCATGTTGGAGCAATTGCTGGAGCAATCTTTACACAGCTTGTGAGGGCCACAGTGGACAAAAGGATCCTGTTCTCCACATGTTGGACATCTGTGCTTTGATCACTGATTACTGCTTCTGATAATAGAGCTGATCAATGAAATAGATGGTGGTAATTGACACACTTCCCTCCACTGTTGTTACTCCCCTAACCTCTAACTATTTTTCTTCTCTTTATTTATCTCTTTTCACGCTTTTGGAATCTAGCCATTAAAGTTTAGAACATTCAAAAATAACTAACTGTATATATGATGAAAATTTAAAAATGGCCATCCGTGCCCAGGAAAGGATTCATAAAAGATTTGAGAAGTCTTTAATAATAAACTCCTTGTAAGAGAAACTCAAAAAGCACTGCATGGATATATATTATAATCAGATTTTTGAAAACTAAAGAGAAAGTGAAAATCCTAAAGCAGCAAGAGAAAAAATGACTTTTCACATATAAGGATCCTCAATAAAATTATTAGATTTCTCATCAGTAATTTTGTGGGTTAGAAGACAAAAAGGCAAAATATTCAAAATGCTGAAAGAAAAAAAAACTGTAAACCAAGAATTCTATATTTGACAAAACAGTCCTTCAAAAGTTAGGTAGAGGAGGGTTTGGTGGCTCACGCCTGTAATTCCAGCATTTTGGGAGGTCAAGGCAAATGTATCACCTGAGGTCAGGAGTTTGGGGTTCACCATGTTGGCCAGGCTAGTCTCAATCTTTACTAAAAATAAAAAAATTAGCCAGGCATGGTGGTATGTAACTGTAATCACAGCTACTCACTAGGCTAAGGCAGTAGAATTGCTTGAACTCAGGAGGCAGAGGTTGCAGTGAGCCAAGTTTGCACCACTGCCCTCCAACCTGGGCAAGAGAGTGAAACTCTGTCTCAAGAAAAAAAAAAAAAAAAAAAAAAGTTAGGTCCTAATTAAGACATTTCCAAATAAACAAAAGCTAAGAAAATAACTTGCAAGAAATGCTCAAGGGAATCCTGTAGGGTGAAATGAAAGATGCTAGACATAACTGGATGTTGAATGAAGAAGTAAGAGTAAATTCATAGACAGCTGTTAAAGTTAACATTATTGTAACAATGATTTATAATGCACTTTTTGTTTTGTAATAATTTCTGATAATTGTTTTCTAAATAATTAAAGAGATGAATACATTAAAATTTTTCCAAAAGCTAGTATTATTATAACTTTATATTTTGTTTTCTATATAATTTAAAAGACTGATGCATTTCACAAAGTGCTAGTGTTTTGGAGGCACACAACGTATAAAGATGTAATTTTGTGCCTTTGACAACCAAAATGAGTGGGAACAGAGCCGTTAAAGGAGTAGAGTTTTTGTTTGTTATAAACTCAAATTAGAGTATTATGACTTTAGGCTGTTAATTTGCATGGTAATCACAAAGAAAATAGCTATAGAATATATACAAAAGAAAATTAGAAAACACGTTAAATATTTCACTATGAAAGATAAACTAAACACAAAAAGATGGTAATGTAAAAAATGAGACACAAAAGCTATAAGGAATAAGGAAAACAAATCACAAAATAGCAGAAGTAAATCCCTTCTTAGCAATTATTTTAATTATAAACTATAGTACTCTTAAAAAAGAGAGAAACCTGCAGAATGGATAAAAACACTTGATTCAACTGTGTCCTCTCTACTGAAGATTATCTTTAGTTTAAAAACACAAATATTAAATATATTAAAACTGAAAGGATGGAAGAAAAGATTCTATGCAAATAGTAACCAAAAGAGAGTAAGGGTTGCTCTTTAATATCAGATAAAATAGACTTTAAATTTAAAAATGTTAAAATCATAGAAGGACATTATATGTTAAGAAAAGGTTCAATACAGCAAGAAGATATATATATATGTATAAACAATAAGATACCTGATTACAGATTATCAAAATACCTAAAGCAAAAACTGACAGAATTGAAGGGAGAAACAGACAATTCTACAATAATAGTGAAGACATTAATAGCCATTCTCAATAATTAATAGAGCCACCATATAAAAGATAAGTAAGGAAATAGAGGACTTAACACAATAAACCTACTGGATCCAACAAACAGACACAGAACATACTATGCAATAACAAGTGTATACACATTCTTAAAAGCAAATGGGACATTTTCCAGGAATATATGTTTGGTCACAAATTAAGTTTCAATAGAAGGAACAACTTATATAACATAAATTATCTTTTCTGATCACAATAGTTAAAGTTGAAAATCAATAATAGAAGTCAAACCAGAAAATTCATAAATTTGTGTTAACAACACTTTAACAATCAAAGGATCGAAGAATAAATTATAATGGAAAGTTGTAAATAGAGATAAATAAAAATGAATATATAACACACCAACATGTATGAGATGCAGTGAAAGCAGTGGTAAGGGGGAAATTTAGTGTCATCAATGGTTATGTTAAAATATAAGAAAGATCTCAAATTCAACACGTTAACTACAACTTAATAAGCTAAAAAAGAAAGAACAAGCTAAACCAAAAGTGGAGAGGACATTGGTGAAAACAAATTTGATTGTTTGAAAAATTGCACAAAATTGACAAATCTTTAGTTAGATGCATTAAGAGAAAAAAAAGAAGATTCAATTTACCAAACTTACTTGATGGTATTGTAAATAAAATTGATTTTGTAATTACTTTTTCAGATTGTGCATGCTTAGTGTGTAGAAATATAATTGACTTTAGGTTGACTTAACGAGGGCACTGAATATCTTCTACAATGGAAACTACTAAATATTGCTGAAAGAAAGACATAAATAAATGTAATCACATCTCAGGTTTATGAATTGGAAAGAAATGATCTACACATTCAACGCAGTCCCCAGCAAAATCCCAATGATTTCTTTTTTCAGAAATAAAAAATGTCCACCTTAAAAGTTATGTAGAATCTCATGGTACTCTGAACATGCAAAACAACCTTGAAAAATAGTAATATTAGTTATCTCACATTTACTGTTTCAAAATTTAATTACAATGCTACTTTTGTAATTGAAACCTTTTAGTATTGGCATAAAGACCAACATATTGACCTATGGAGCAAAATAAGGAGACCAGAAATAAACCCTAACATACATGATTTTTGAAAACAGTGTCAAGTCCATTCAATGGGGAAAGAATGGTTTGGTCTTATGAACACATGGTGCTGGAGAAACTGGATATCCACATGCAAGAGAATGGCCCAAATAATTGGACTCTGAACTAACACCATATACAACAATGAACTAAAAATGGACTCAAAAAACTGAACTTTAAAGCTCTTAGTAGAAAACAGGGCAAAAGGCTCATAACATAGAATTTGGCAGTTATTTCTTGAATATGGATATGACACCAAATGTACATGCAATGAAAAAAGACATTAGACTTCATAAAAACTAAAAAAATCTGTGCATCAAAAGATATTATCAACAGTAAAAAGACAGCTCAGAGAATGGAAGAAAATACTGTAAATTATATATCTGATAAGGGATTAATGTCTAGAATATATGCAAAATTCCTAAAACTAAACAATCCAATTCAAAAATGGACAAAAAAAATCAAAAAATCTTTTCAAGAAAAGATATGCAAATATACAATATATACATGAAAAGATGCTCAGTAACACTAATAGGGAAATGCAAATCAAAACTACAGTAAGATATGACCTCACTGTACCTCACTGTAGTTTTGATTTGCATTTCTCACATATGAATATGTGAGCTTTTATGCTTTCCTGTGATCAAATATCCTGCCTCACCATGCTATCTTCTCCTTTTCTAATTTACCACAAAACTCCCCAAATGATCCCTTTTATAAACGGTCATTTTGTCTGAGTTCCCTTTTAACAATATCAGGGAAAAAAACAAAATTTTTTTTTTTTTTTTTTTTTTTTGTCTGGGGGGACGGAGTTTCGCTCTCGTTACCCAGGCTGGAGTGCAATGGCGCGATCTCGGCTCACCGCAACCTCCGCCTCCTGGGTTCAGGCAATTCTCCTGCCTCAGCTTCCTGCATAGCTGGGATTACAGGCACGCGCCACCATGCCCAGCTAATGTTTTGTATTTTTAGTAGAGACGGGGTTTCACCGTGTTGACCAGGATGGTCTCCATCGCTTGACCTCGTGATCCACCCGCCTCGGCCTCCCAAAGTGCTGGGATTACAGGCTTGAGCCACCGCGCCCGGCCTAAAAACAAAATTTTAACCACTTCGTAGCAATGCATGAATGCCTAATATTGTCTGAAATGTGCTATCTCTTCAGTTCACCCAATTCAAAGCCACGTTTGGGGATTTCTGTAGCCAGATGCAGAGTCTGAAAGAAATACGACTCCAATAATGGAAACTGAAGCACCAAAACAACTCTTTGACAGTGATAATTTGGAGAAAGGATGTAGTTGAGCACTCTACACAGTATACCACAGGCATGCTTGTTAGCGTGCTTAACTTTTAACCTAACTCTGATAGATGATGATTTCTGACTGTGACTGATTATTTATTGGATGCTATATGTATATATCACAAAGAAGATACCATTTATAATTAATGGTCCATCTTAATTGGGATATAGCTTAAAATTCAGTAATCTGTAAGAGACTTAGTAGAATGCGGGAATGTGAAGCAAAAACAAAAGGAAGTATTTTACAGACTTGATTAGATTATTTCAGTTAGAAGTGATACCTTTTTGTGTGGTTATTTGAACAGGCTGTTTGAAAGATCACTACTGCTATTGTACCTGCAATTGTCAATGTGATAGCTTTTCACTGCGTTGGATGGAATGAAAGATCTCCAGTTATTTATTTCTATAACTTCTATGCAGCCAGTAAAATTCTTGACTGGTATAGGGATCTAGGAGAGAGAGAAAGAGAGAAAGGTGTAGAGAGAATTTATATTATTTTCTTTTATATATTATTCCTGCTTCAAACTGGTCAAGGCATGCAATTGGATTTGGAGGATGATTTGATTTATTCAGCATATTGATAGTACAGTAATTCAACTCTTTTCATAAATATCAATTCTAAAAGTAATAGGATTTTTCTATATCTTGGCTATTATGAATAATGCTACAATGAACATGGGAAAATTATAAAGAAATTGTTTGTCTACACACACATGCACATGTAATAAAATGTTATTCAGCCTTAAAAAAGAAGGAAGTCCTGCCATTAGTCACAACCTAGATGAAACTGAAAGATATTATACTAAGTGAAATAAGTCAGACACAAACATATATAATTATCTCACTTACATGTGGACTCTGAAAAATTAAATACACAGAAATAGAGAGTAAAACTGTCATTACAAAGCCAAGGTCTGAGGCTGGGAGTGGGGAGAAAATGTGCAGATTTAGGTCAAGAGATGCAAAGCATCATATATTTAGAATAAACAAATCTACAGACCTAATGTATAACATAAGGCCTATAGTTAAAAATACTGCATTGTATTTGGGACTTTTTCTGAATGAATAGATTTTAGATGCTCTTGCTACACACGCATATGAAAAATGGGTAACTGTGTGTGATAATGGATGTTAATTTGCTTCACTATAGTTACCATTTTACTACCCATATGTATCTCATAACATGTGGCCCATACCTTAAATATACACAATAAAATTTATTTTAAACATTAGTAGGAAAAAATGTCACCTTATATGTCAAAAGTTATGGCTGTATATCTTAGTACTGTATAAATTGCATAGTCACTAATACTTAAATAAAGAAAAAATTATATAATTACAGTAAATCATCAAGGAAAAATAGTAGAAAAGCTAATTCACTCATCGTCCCATCAAGACACTACATTTTTCTATCTTTGGCCTGTTTCTGGCAGTATTTTCTCTTGGACATCAATTACCTTGCCCTATCTACAGCTATCAAAACATCAAGAAGAATAGCTTGTCTAGGGACCAAAGCTAACAAAGCAATCTATAAATATTTGTAATATATTTTGCGTGCCTTTTGTGTTCTGAAGCCTATTCTCCTTAACAATAATTTGGGGAAAAATGATTAAAACAAAAAACAGATGCTAAGGATCCAAGAGCAAGAAGAGAAAATAAATACATTGAAGAACATTCTATTTGGTAAACAAAAATCATTATGAACATGCAATATTATACTAGTAATTATATGTGTATCTAAATTTATATTTATGAGAAAAAGGATTAAAAGTGAGTATAGATCAGAATTTGATAGTTTCAAATAGGCATTCATTCAAATTCTGTCCTCTCATAAGCTCTTAATATTATTAAAAATTTTAAGCTTAGGAGGACCAAGTTATGACCAGAGAAACCACTAAACTTATACACTGAAAAATATATTATCTTGATTTTTGAATTAAAATTATATACTATTTGCATCTCAAGCCTCTGTATCTTATTGAATATAATATTGTAAATAATTAATAGAATAAAGCCTTTGCCTTTTTTTAGAAATTTCAGAAAATATATTTCATTTTACCTTTTAAATCATAATCTTAGTTTAAAAACTTTGAAAGTTGTTTTTCCTCTTGCTATAGGCTCAAATGTACTGCAAAGATTCTCACCTAGTAATACTCTGTCAAATGTCAAAAATGACTGACCTAGAAAATAAAACAATATTTCACACAGTAAGTTTATAAACAAGTCAAGTAGATTCCAAAGAAACCATTTTATAGAAACACTTGACTTTTATATGCTGCATTTGGGAAACTATTGATTTGTAATTGTTAAAGTTTATCTGAGCTTCATTAATCCTTTTTTAAGATTTACCTATTTTAGATTTAATTTTTATTGCAGTTACACATCAACTTAGTTTTTTAAATTTAAAAATAAAGTTGATGTCTATATATCCCCTGAAACATTACAGTTCACTATTAAAAATAAATAAAATGGTCTTACAAAAATACTTTTGATTGTAATGATAGTGAATGTTCAAACTTAATTCTGCCATAGCTCAGCAATGGCATAAAAGTATATTTACATTGTAGTAGATATTTTTCTCTGTTAATATCCTCATTATTCATTATTAAAAAAGAGAAAGTAATACCTTTTAAATTAATGTAAAGACACTAGGGAGCTATGAAAATTGGTCTATAAAGGAAGTGATTCTATGACTATTGAGATACTTCTCAGAATTCTATAATTCAGTTTCATTTACACATTATGAATTTAAAATGCATATTAATTTATTCATCTTGGGCTTTGAAAAATGGCAAGAAAAATTGCCAGCCATTAGCCTTCACATTTAAGTAAATTCAGAATTCCTTCACTTCTTATATTTTAGTAGACTGACCACTCTCTAGTTCTATCACACATTATCTTTTTGTGGTACTGTTTGGAATAGTTATTTAGCTTCCAAATAAATTCCCACTTTTGTTTCACTTTAAATATATGAACAACCTCATAAAAATGTGAGCAAAGGACATGAACAGATATTTTTTAAAAGAAGACATACAAGTGGCCAAAATTATATTTAAAAAAAGCTCAACATCGCTGATCATTAGAGAAATGCAAATCAAAACCACAATGAGATAACATCTCGTATCAGTCCAAATGGCTATTATAAAAAGTAAAAAAATAACAGATGCTAGCAAGGTTGTGGAGGCAACGGAATGCTTATACACCATTGGTGGGAGTGTAAATTAGTTCAGCCATTGTGGATGACAATATAGCAATTCCTCCAAGACCTAACCAAGAAATATCATTTGACCCAACAATGCCATCACTGGGTACATACCCAAAGGAATATAAATCATTCTATAATAAAGACACATACACATACATGGTCACTGTAACACTATTCACAATAGCAGAGACACTGAATCAACTTAAATATCCATCAATAATAGATTGGACAAAGAAAAAGTGGTACATAGACACCATGGAATATTATGCAGCCATAAAAAAAGAACAAGTTCGTGTCTTCTGCAGGGACATGAATGGAGCTGGAGGCCATTATCCTTAGAAAACTAACACAGAAAAAGAAAACCAAATACCACATGTTCTCACTTAAAAGTGGAAGCTAAAGGATGAGAATAGCTGGACACATAGAGGGGAACAACATGCACTAGGTCTATTGTCTATTGGAGTGTGGAGGGTGAGAGGAAGGCGAGAATAAGGAAAAGTAACTAATGGGTACTATGCTTAATACGTGAGTGATGAAATAATCTGTATAACAAACCCCCACAACACCAGTGTCCCTATATAACAAACCTGCACATTTACCCCTGAACTTAAAAGTTAAAAAATAAAACCATACTTTAAAAAGGTTAAAAAATAATGAGAGAAAGGGAACTGAGCATATGAGTGACCAAAATGGGAAGACTGGCCTGAATGTGCTTTTGTGTATTTTAAGTGCTGGAACCACGATGAATTTATCATTTATATGAAAATAAAATTTAAAATTTCAATTAAAAGTTAAAAATCAAAAGAAGAAATTTTCCATAAAGAGTCTAAATTTATTCCATCTTCCTTTATTTAAAATGTTCCTGCTTTTATAATATGATGGTGATCGTTGATAGTAGACACTGTTATTGTCTTTTATTTAATATAAAAAGAATAATTTATTAGAAATAGTAAAGCATATATTAACATTTCATTTTGTAAAACATAAGTGAAACCTGAACTCAAATACTGAGCCTTAAATTTAAACTCTAAGTTCATGATTTTTAGATCATTTCGAGTGTGGGAAACGTTTTTTTCCTTGAATTTATGTTTAAAATAATCTAGTTAATTAGGTTTCTGGGACAGGATTCTTAAAATTATTAGAAGGGAAATAAACATACACAATTCATATGACAAGTTATGACGTAAAACATATAATAAACACAAGAAATAAAAAAGTACGTTAGATTATAAGAATGGTACCATTGCATGATGTCTTCATTAAAAAAAATTTATAGTCACATGTGCTCCTGTGATTTCTCAAATAGAGTTCTTATTTTAATCCAGGACAAATAATAAAATAATAATTTCTGGTTATTTCTAAACAATGTAAAATAGCAACATAGTAGGCCAACTCATAATAGTGGGAATATAATTCATGGTACTGAGTAGTAAATAACAGAATTCTCACTCTTTTAAAATTTCAAACATGTTGTCTTAAATTTCTAAATATATCTTTAATATGTTTTATTTTACCTCCATGTTAATGGAGTAATATTTAATTCTCTCTCTGGCATTTGATGGCTTTAGCTCTCATTCCTTTAAAGAAAGTTGAAATCAGTGGATTATCCATACTCTATAAGCAATTTCCCTATTAGTATTTAATGGCAGTTACACAAAGTTTAGACACAGGGCCTTCATGATGATAGCATAGACTGTTGTATACAATATTCTAAATTTACAACTAAATAATTTTAAATACAAACACATCACATTATTTTTTTGAAAATCATGTGTGTAAATGTTTGATGCTATGAAAATACATGAAAGTATAAGTGATCATATCCTGTTCACGTATTAGAGACACAATTACTTGAAGAATATCTAAATTTTGGTTAACCTGATATTAAGGTACCATTTATTTTGAGCTGAAAGGCCTTTTCCAATCGAATTTTTATTTTTAAATTTATTTTTGTATGTGTGATTTTTTTATTTAAAAAAATTACTAGGCTGGGCTTGGTGGTGCATGCCTGTAATCTCAGAACTTTGGGAGTCTGAGGCAGGTGGATTACAAGGTCAAGAGGTAGACACCATCCTGACCGACACAGTGAAACCCTGTCTTTACTAAAAATACAAAAATTAGCTGGGCATGGCGGCATGCCTGTAGTCCTAGCTACTCAGGAGGCTGAGGCACTTGAAACTGGGAAGCAGAGGTTGCAGTGAGCTGAGATCGTGCCACTGCACTCCAGCCTGGTGACAGAGCCAG